GAATTCTTAGCAATATATCTCATTTTAATTTTCATTTCTCAGCTATTAGTAAGTTTGAGCATCACTTTCTATTCTTATTAGCTACTCAGCTTTTCTCTCTGTAGATCACATTCTTATTCTTTGCTCATTTTTATATTGAGTTTCCTGTCTTTCATTTGTTGATTTGTAGTTCCCGGGAATGTTTCTATAGTAATGCCATGAATTTTATGCTTTGCTAAAAGCTATTCTAGTCTGTTACTCTCTATTAGCTTTAAGGTGTTGTTCACTGACTAGAAAATTCTACATTTTAATGTAGCCATAGCCATCACTTCTCAACCTGATTAAGACATTATTTGGGGGTTATGTTTAAGGGGTACAGCCCCTTACCTACATATTGTTCTATTAGCTTTGCAGTCATCTTTTAATCCCTCTTTAATCTACCCGGAGTCCAACTTGTTCTATGGTGCAATGTAGGAATTTGGTTTTTTCTCTATTATGAGCCAGTGTTGCAATACCATCTGCTAAAGAGTTGATCTTTTCTCCATTATATAAAATGAAGTGATGCATCTCTATCATATACCACACTTTTTTTGGTAAAAAGAAGAATGCTCTTGGAAGGGTGATGACCCAGATGAGATGGGCAAGAAAAATATCCCTGGCCCTCCATCTCCAGGAGGGCAATGGTGACTGCCCACTATGGATTCAGCCTTCTGAAGCCACATGCAAGTAGGAAACCTTGAACTCACCCAGGGGCTCTAAAGGGATTTTTAAAAAACAAGAATAAAGAAAGAAATAGTCTTATTAGGTCAAGTGCTTCAGATATTTCCTGTGAATTCCTGCAATTCCTGCAATGTTTAGTAGCAAAACAATGTGTTTCCGTGTCATGTTACATATATAAAATGCTTTTAGTGTCATAACTGTACTACATATTGCATCATACTTAGCTGTTTAGAATGTGAGCAGACCTGTTATCCACAAAGCTTTCCAATGTTCCCAAAGCTTTTGGAAATTCATGGAATGATTCAGGGTGCTTGACATGATATAGTATTTAACTGGTACATTTCTGTAAGCAAGGAAAAATCTTGTCCCAAACGGGTCTGATTTACGGCTTACTTCAGTATTCTATACATAGTAAGTCCTCAAAACAATGTCCTTGGCTGACTAGCTGGCTGAGTGCCCACATATTCCCTGGGTTGGAATTTACAAGCAGAAGGAAATCTTCCTTCGTGAAAGTCACGATCTATTTGCATTTGCCTTTCGTTAGGAGGAAAAAGCACCAAAGACTTCAAGGACTATTATAGTGTATAAAACTTAACTCCATGCAATTATTCATGGAGCCCCTCCCGGGGCCATACAGCATTATTATATGCTTCAATAAATGTTTCTGCCTTACCCTTGGATTTCAATAGAAACTATTTTGCACTCTTGTTATTCACTTACATTGCCCCATTGATTCTAAGCAACAAGTAGAAAATGGAATCAAGCAAGCCAGTATTTCCCTTAGAAACTGGTGGCGGGTGGTATTACGAGCTGGAGTCCTAACTAAGAGCTTAGTACTGGCTAGCACCAGTACTCAAACATTCCGTTTTCCATGCCTATAGATGTACTTGAAGTTAAAGAGCAGAAGATCAAATCCATCCATGTAACAAGATTTAACCGGTGCTCATTACACCCAGGGATTTCATGAGTGTCATGCTTAGACTTGGTTAATCTCTAAATCTACAGGATGGAGTTCAGAGTTTCTCTTTTTGTTTGGATCTAAAGAACTGTGACTTACTATTTCCAATTCACATAGCTGATAGGTTACATTATAACATTTCCTCTCTGCTGGAGGATGACCTTCCACGTGTTCCATTGTGATGCACCAGTAATGTTCTTCTGTTCCAAAACAGATTTTGTTTCTTACTTTCTAAAATATAATAGAACGTGAATTTTGATAATGTCACATGAACTCCATCCTCCCACTCCTTTTATTTCTCCACAATAAAGAAACCCTGAGGACACTACAGATGGTGAAGGAGAGTTTCACGCAATGGCAGGTAACTGCAAGCTCTTGTGATTTCAACTCAGGAAAGAGACAGAAAGAGCGCACGTGTTCTCTGTGACCTAGGCTTTTTGGTTAATGTGAACCTAGCTGGGACGGCTGTATAAACGTCAACATGCTTTGAGGCTGGCAACACAAACATTAATACAAATGTTAAACAAGAAACCAACTTTGGTTGTGTCCATGGGAAAAGATCTACAAATGTTCTCCACAACTTAAAAGTTTTTCTACTGACATTTAACCGCAACATGGGTATCATTAGGACAATGTTCCTTGCTCTCCCACCATTTTGAATATTTCCCAAAACCTTATCAGTGACACTGAAAATTTTACTGATGTTTTGATACTCTAGACAAAATATCCAAGGTTAAAATGGGAAGTTATATGGGAAAAACTTAAGTAGGCTCTAAATGTCCTAATCATATGTAATTTTTATTAAATAACTTATAAAGTCTCCATATTGTATATCTAATGATTTAGTTCACTATATTCTATTATTTTTACTCATCAATCATATATTTCCCATGTCATCAAAAAGCAAAGTTTATGTCTCTACCCAGCAGAAAACATTTTTAGGGAAACGTTTTACTAAACTATAAAATATTAGAGTGTTCCGATCTATTTTTCATAATCATTGCCAGTAACATAATAGAAACATTACCAATCCTGATAGCAGATTTTCAGAAATTAATTAAACCCATTAGAATCAGTAGAAAGCAGTCATTTATTCGTCACTACAGAAAGAAAGAAAAATGAATTAGACTTTATGTAACTAAAAGCACACTCCTTTTAGAAAATATCCACATGTGAATTTTGAAATCAATTTATGGCAGTAATAGGTTTCACTTGCTAAAGAAGAACAAATGAAAATGTAAATTAAGAATGGCATCACAAATGGCAACTACGATTGAATCAAAGATGTACTTTATCAAAATAAGCAATTTACGGCAGAGTGTTCTTACAAGTGAACCCTGAATAAAACAATAATCTGGCTAAGGTAAGAATTCAGAATTACATTTGTAATTAATTTGCCATGCTCAGTCTGCTCTGTTCCTATTTCTGCTCTTCTCGAGCTGGTACAAAGACGAGCACGGAAGTGTGCACGTGATTACTTATTTAAGTCAAATACCTTATGCAATGGATGCACTTATGACCTGTATTAACATGTATCATCAGGATGTAAGGGAGTTTTGCAAAATGCTAATGTTCAATGTCTCCTTAAGCTTTATTTTATATTGATGTCTTATTTCTCATGTAAATGTACACTTTTCCTTATGAGAATTAAGTTTCTCTGTGCTTTAGTTCTTACAACTTTCCTATGAAATCAACCAGCTTGGTATTATTCCCATTTCACAGATGTGGGCCTAAGCCACCACCGCCATGTGCTATATCCTACCCTCACAGGGCAGACTGTGGGGCAAAGACCATGATTTACCTTCAAACAGCTTCATTTTCATGAATCAGAATCAAGTGGACAGGGCTTCCCTGGCAGCACAGTGGTTAAGAATCCACGTTCCAATGCAGGAGACACGTGTTCCATCCCTGGTCCGAGAAGATCCCGCATGCCGCGGAGCAACTAAGCCCGTGCGCCACAACTACTGAGCCTGACCTCTAGAGCCCGTGAGCCACAACTACTGAGCCCAGGTGCCACAACTACTGAAGCCCTCACACCTGGAGCCTGTGCTCCGCAACGAGAAGCACCGCAATGAGAAGCCCACGCACCGCAATGAAGAGCAGCCCCCGCTCGCCGCAACTAGAGAAAGCCCGTGCACAGCAATGAAGACCCAACGCAGCCAAAAAAAAGAATCAAGGGGACAGCCTTCTCCCCATCATATTCCCTCTACCTAGAATCTTCTTAATTTGGTAAAGCCTTACTCCCTTTCTAGGCTTAATTCAGAAACCAGCTCTTCTCTGAAACAGACTCCACTGAAATCGACTGAATGATTCCTGCCTCTGTTCCCCATGGCTTTTGTGAGAACACTGAGCACACCCTTTCATTGTTCGCAGCATGCACATCTGTTTATTCCTGCACAAGTTAGTCTTTTTTTTTTTTTTTCTTTTTGGCTGCGCCGCACGGTTTGTGGGATCTTAGGTCCCCGAGCAGGGATCGAACCCGTGGCCCACTGCAGTGGCAGCGCGGAGTCTTAACCACTGGACCGCCAGGGAAGTCCCCAGGACTTAGTCATTTTTATATCCCTCTCGCAGAGCCTGGGAAAGGGTCTAGCATGAAGCAGCTGTTCAACAACCTTAGCAAAGTAAATTGTATGAGTGACCGCCACAGACAACAGGTAAGTAGAATTGTAACTATTCCTGCCCTTGAAGTAAATCCTGTCAGTGGGAGAGGAAAAGGCTTAAGAGTGAGACAGGAAGTTAATACGTATATTAAAGAGTGATTTTTAAGTGTAGATAAAGGAGGAAAAGGATTGGCCTAAATCCAACCACGACACCGGCACAGCTCAAGACACAAGTGAATGTAATTAGAGGCGTAAGGCATTCATTCCTGCATAACCACGGGTTTCTTGTTTAATTACACAGTTTTCTTATATGCCCTCTTTAAGACAGGAAGCAAGGTGGGAACGATATTACGGATAATAGAGGCTCCTGACAGAGAAAGAATTCCAGTGGATACTGGCAGTTCAGCTGTTCTCTTCAGAAAGAGGCTTCAAGACAGCCTGCCTTTTTATTATGTCTGGTGAAGGTGAAAACGGCTGTTAAAAGTATCAGCAAGGAGATATTTACGGAGTCCCTACCTCATGCTAAATACTTGCGGAAAGTTTTCACAGATTATCAGATTCTCCTAATATGAGTTAGAGATCATGGTCCCCATTTTACAGGAAGAGGACTGAAGATCAGAACAATGAAATGAGTTGCTGAGATTGCAAACCTAGTGCCAGAGCGTTGATCCAACCAAATTCCGGGACTCTTCCTACGACTCCCTACAACCCCCTCTTCCGGTGTTTGGAACACTGACACTCACCTACTGCATTGTGTGAACATGATTCCTGTCTAAAGCCATCTGGTTTAGGCTATTTCACATCTGCTAAATTGTAATCTGAGGATTCCTTTCACGTGAAGCTGGAGAATTTGTCTATACTCCTTGGGCATCTCGTGGAAACCGCGCTTAGGTAACCTGTTGTCGTAGTAGTGATGGCTGACAGGTGTGTTCTCTCCAGTTTTAGAGAAGGGCCAGAATCCATAGAGTTTCACGTTCTCGCACAGTTCAACTGCCACACTTGTGATCATCAAGCCGGAGGACAGGCGATACTCGGTCACACCCTTAGTCCTCCAGAAGAGGGCAAGGTTTTGCAGGTACTTGGGATGGAAAAATAAGACTCTTTGTCTTGCTTCAGAGTCCTTCAGTGTGTAGTACACCTTAAAAGAGGCCGCCGTGTTGGCCCTGAAGGAAAATGCTGGCAGAAGGACGAATGCATCTCCATAGGTTGCAACGTCCTCCAGAAATATTGCTTTCTTTTCCTTTAAGTTCCCATATCTGCCAAAGTTTTAAAACATCATGATTTTAACAGTAATCATCAAAGGAGCAGTTTTGGTAACATGAGGCTGAATGCACCACTGGCCAAAAAACAGAACCATTTATATCACTGTATCTAAAAGAGAGAAACTGCAGACTCAGAAAAAACGCATGTTAAGTGAGCATCTTGTAAACATCAGGGGCGAGGTCTTCATTTCTCTTTCTTGGCATATCTAGGCTCTCATTCCTACCTTCTTATGGGGCAATACCCTTACTGGACATACATTTTTTATATTATTTTATCTTCCAACTCAGTCCTTTTTTCCTAAGGTTGCTTTTTAATGATGAATTACCTTCCAAATGTATAATGCTGAAATGTTTTCTCAAACATAACACACTCTTAAAATATCTGTACATTAAAAAAATTCATTGAGCTGTACATTTGTATATACATGTTATTATAAAATAACAGTTTCCTTTAGAAAGTCTAAAATATCTATATGCATAAACACACACACACACACACACACACACATCTTAAATTTCCTCCATGGATTGTGATAGCTCTATGTGTTTAATTTAAATAATACCTCCGTAAATATACTGGTGTGCATGACTGCGTGTGTTTAGAAAATAAGCCTTGGGGAGACAGGTACAATATTTTATATTCTCTTAAGCCATACTAGAACTATTTGAGGGGTGTATTCTACTAATAACAATTATTAGTCACTTCGGATGAAAATAGTTGAATAAAACTATATATAGGATTTTTATTAAACAGCCAACATTTTGTAGTAGTTACATTGTGGAAAATAAAATACACGAATTATTTTTTAGTAATAAACTGCCCGAAATGAAAACTTGATTTTGCCAGGTTCTCCTAAGGGTTACTCTCTGAAGCTTCTAAATAGACTAAGTTTTTTCAGGAAAGCGCTATCGAGACAAGAGTAACACTAAAATTCTGAAAGGAAATCTAAAAAAGGAACTTCACTATTAAAAAGTTCTCATTGGACTAGCAACATTCAGCTTATGACATTAGAAGTACAACTGGACATACCTCTTATAAGCCACAACCTAAATTACCAACATATTCTTATATATTTTCCTAAAAAGCCATTCCAGCTGTATTAGAAGTCAGTCTCAGCAACAAGATTAGTGCTCAGACTAAGAAACAGGTTAGATAATGAGAAAAATGTTCTTGAACAGTTATGTAATTTGAGGTACTTACCTTAGTCTTATGATACTGGGATTTAGAGTCACCAGGTTGGTTTTAGTGCCAACATCATTGGTAACATTTCCTGTGGTTGGGGGGAGGTTACACCTGAAATTTGGAAGGAAAACTATTCTCAAAATATAACTTGTGAAAAAAAAAAGTACATCCACATACATCCACACATATACATGTGATCATTCTCATTTTATTGGAGAAAATTATTGTTGTTAAGGGGATCCTCAGAATTCATCTGATTTCCATCGAAAAACAGTAAGTACTGAACTCTTAGCTGGCATTTCAACATTGGATAAAATAAATGAATTTGATAAATGCTTTCAGTATTATGCAAGACCTTTATAAGTAACAAAACTAGAAATGACAATTACACCTTGCCTAGCTTTTGAAGAGTTCATGATCCTTTTATTAAAATTATTCTTTATATTAATTAGATTCCCACAGAGGTATATCACCAATTTACAGATTTTAAAAACTTGAGGCACTGCGACTAAGGTTATAGTGTCTGCCAGAAGCAAAGACTATACAAAAAAAATCAAAATTTCCTGATTCCCATATGGACTGTTTTTCCACCAAATTAAGCTGTTAATAAATAAAGCCTTAACGTTCTTATAATGATATTTTCATATTGATGTTCTCATCCTCTTTTGAGTACTATTTTGTTTTTAAATTGGAAAACAAATTAAGAATTGTAATTTTGAGTAAGTATATTCTTGTCACACAGAAAAGAGAAAGTATCATTTCAGAATTTCAAGTAGACCATTTCTTTACAGCTATACATACAAAGGGAGCATCTCTGAGGAAGGCTGTTTAAACTTGATGTGTTCTGTAAGATGAGGTTGAAATATTCTATTCCATGCTCTATGAAATATATGGATAAATGAAACATGTACTTCTCTCACTGATAAAAAAAAGATACATCAGAAAACAAATATGGCACCTTGGGAAAAATAAATATTAATTTAGATAAGAGGCCACAGAAATGTCTTCATTAGTGGGCTTCCTGTAACAAATCTACTTTCTAGAACAGTCTCATATTCTTTTGAAGACTCAAAGATGATTTCCAATATGGTGTCATTGGAGACCCCTAGGGGAAATATTGGGTATTGTATATACACAGTACAGTAAAGCCACTCAGCCCCTAATTTTGCTCCTTACACACTTAACTGACAGCTCCCAATCTTCTGAAATGAAAAAAAAAAAAAAAAAGAGAGAATCAGCTTCCAGATGGTTTTATAAACTATGAAACATGTACAACCAAAATAGACATAGGCTTAAAAATTAAATAAATTTTAATGACACCAACCATGTACAGCCCCAATTTGACCTTTCAGTTTGGAAGGCTAACTTCAAAAGGAACTCTATATTCAGAAAAATAGCTGACATCAACAAATGCAGAATCTAGAAATATACGCATTTATTTTAGAGTTATAAATTAAGTAGCTGTTGAGTTTTTTGGTTTTTCTCCCTGCTTGCTAAACCTAAACTTGTATTTCTTATATCTGCTATAAAGCAAAATGGATGTTTAGGCATAATATTCACCCCAGATGTTTTGGGAATTTTCAGTCTATAAAAATGTCTATTACGAGAAGAATTATTTATCTTCCTTATGGTTTTTCCATACTGAGTACTTTAACAAAATGGCTACATCATGCAGGTATTGGCCATTTTCACATTCACCATGACGAACACATTCAATAATGGTTGGACTGCCAGGTCTGTTGTTCTGTTATTATCTTCAGCATAAAATTCTAAATGAGATTAAAGTGAGGGGGAGCTACTGATTCAGAATCATGTTTCTTTTTCATGGGCAGCATTAAATCAATAAAGCTCAAAGGATCTCCTCTGATGTATGCAATTGGTGCTCCTGAAATAGGAAGAAACGGATTTCAACTGACTTTATAAAAAGGTGCATTTCAATTGAAATCCACCCTCACAGGGATGAATCCTCTTTCCATCATATTCTGAAAGTGGAGATGCTCTGTGCCTTGTGTTATTAGTTCAGACACACAGAGAAACTACTTTTGTTTCTGTTTTGGCAAGCTAGCTTGTATTGAGATATAAACATTTTAAAAGATCAGAATTTAGAAGCTGCACATTTTTTAAAAATTTCAGGCCAGAAACCTAAATAAACATCAATGTTGTGTGGCTATACAATATCTAAGTCAGCATTTTCACAAGTATTACCTGAGAACAAAGTGTTCTTGAAATGCTCTGTTTAAAAAAAAAAAGGTATCCTTAATATACTGAAGGCTCTGACAAGTCCTGCAGTGAAGACCCTCTTTGACTATGATCTCATGCAGGGTTTCTGGAAAGTTAAGTGACCATAGCAACATTCAGAGGAACTCATGATCCATTTAACACTTTTGGAAACACACTAGATAAATTGCAGGCTTAAGCAACAGAGTTCAAAGGTCAAAATTTACACAGAGTATCTTTAGCCTATTCATTTAAAATATCCAGCTGATCTTGGATGTCAAAGAAACCAATTCGACAGAGCTTACCTAAAAACAAAGTCGGATTTATCGATTTCAGCTCCGCAGAGAGACTGATTCAGAATCCCCCCATTTCCAACCACCGCACACTGATTGTAAGGGTACCCCACAAAAGGCTGAGTCTATCAGGAGAAAGGGAAAAACTGTCATAAAATAGCTTTAGTTTTAGAACCATAAACATCATCAGCTTAATTCAAGTAGCTTAATCTTTACACATGCTAAGAAAAGAAAAAGAACAAGAAGCAATACCACAGCATGTTAATCAACTTACGACATCATAAAAAAATCCTGTAAACCTGTTTCATTTCTCTTGAGAGGAATATATAGCATATCATAGACAAACATAATGTAATAATACAAAATATAATACACTTGTTCTTAAAATGTACTTTAACGTATTTTACATCACATAATTAAGTAAATAAATTGAGGATGAGAAAATCCCACATGGGCCTTTCGGACTAACAGGACCATTTCCAGCCAAAAATAGAAAAGAAAGCAATTCCAAAGTAGCATTCAATTCTCTATTCTTGGCCATAAAATTAATAGATAATTTAGTGAAAGTTCTCTGTGCTTCTTAAGTAGGTAGACCTTCAGGCTCAGTGATGACAGATTTATGCCTGCGACCTCTGTACATGGTCAGCCACGGTGCTTCAGGGAGGCCCAGTAACTCTGTGCTGATTTGTTTCAAATTCATTTCTAAGGCCGGAATCATTTTTGTTTCCTCCAAGGACCCAACTGGCCGATCCCAAAAGACTTCCCACTTTTACCAAATCCTCCGCGGTCTGAAACATAACTTTTCAATTTGATAATGTACTTTGCCTTTGCTGGTCACTTTTCCGGAAGTAAGGATGTGACCTTAACCAGCAGCAAGGGTGTCAGCTCAGAGTTCCGCGATGATGAGGTCCTGATTCACCTGCTTTGTCTCCAGAACGTGAGTGTAGGTCCTCAGGGGCAGAGAGCATGTTTATTACTTTTCATTTCCCCTGTCTTCTACTGCAGACCTCGCCTAGAGGACCACTGCTTTTTGATGGGTGACGACTGGCCCAATGGCCACCTGGGTGCAACCCCCAGCACCACGTTGGAACCCAGCTGTACCAGCTTATGGGCACCAACTGGTAAATATTCAGGAATTTTGTGAGCCGACTGTGAAACCACTGGTAAATTACAATCGCCACGATGGGGATATTTACACTGCTACGAATCAGGGAACCCTCCTGCCCAGTGTACCAGCCCCACTGGCAATGCCCCAGGACCAGTGTGGTTCTGAGCTGCCCAACAGATCCGGAATCACCCTGACTCCCGCGTGCTCCTGAATCTGCACTGGGAGATGCCAAGCGAGTGACAAGAACCCTCTTTCAGCACGTCTGCGTTTGTCCATGAAAATGAAAAATCACATTGCGCTGCTGGTGCGAGAAGCACTTTCCTGAGTCGTAACTTGTTAACACATGGAATCCATCCAACAACCTTGCGAGCATTTTACAGATGGGAAGACGGAGGCATGAGTTTAAGGAAGGGCTAGAAAGCAGCAGAGCTGGGATTCAAACCCAGGCAGTCTGGTTCAGAGTCCATGGTCTTAACCACGACACATTATACAGGTGCTGTCTGTCATTCAAGGGGTGAAAGGTTAACTGAAGGATGTGCCTTATTTCCCTGCACAGATGTGACCCCAGCAGAGTGTCTGGCTCTTTAATGAATGGTTCCCACAGACCCTGGGCTACTTCAAATCACTGAACTCCTAGCACAAGATATTTTCAGACCGTGTTTACTAACCGATACCACAGTAAATTCTGAATTTTACAGACAGGGCAGAATGCAAATAGGCTCTTTATGGTACAACAGAAAAGATTACTGAGGGGAACGTATCTCCAATTAAGCACTCAAAATAATGAACGTTTTTCTCTGGTTTCTTGGTCAACTGGGAGGAAAAAGTCCATATGCTTTGCTATCTTACGTTCAGTAAGAGTTCAAATAAATGACAATTTCAACGTTCCTTAAAATAAGGCTCCTAAGAAAACGCAAATCTGGGCCACTTAACTGCCTGCTTGTTGCTAACTCTGGCTGAAAACCAGCTTCGTTGTTTTCCTTTCAAGTAACTAAGCAAACCTTCGGAGTAAGTGACTTCACACCATTTCACCCAAAGCATCTATTGCGATCTGCTCGCTGTGTGCCCCACAGAACAAAGCAGGGTTGGGGTGTGGGAAGCAACCTCGGATGCTGTGTCTGTGGAAGGGGATGTTGAAGAAACACAGAAAAGTGACCTCGCTTTGCAGCTGTTCCTGTATTAACTTCAGAATTTCCTCCCCCTAGTTTTAAAAAGTCAGTATTAATTTGGAAAGTGGATGCTGTTGCTAATTGCATCCAGAATTATCAAGCTTATGCTGCTAAGTTATTCTTTTCAAGGTGCCAAATCAGAAGCAAAAAAATACCTGCAGCTCCTCTGTTCTGACCAGCCTAAGGCAAGGACAACACTAGCAACAACGGCAAGGGTGAAAGAGTTGCTCTCTGTGGAAGGTCTTCCCTGATAAGGGATAGAAATATTCTTTAGTTGCTATCTTTTCAGCTATTGGTAATTTCAGTGCATCACGAGGGGATTTTCAGAATGCCGTATGAGTTATTTTTTTGGTCCCCGTTCCCTTCCGGAAAATCTGCAATATTTTTTCTCTAACATTGTGTATTGATTTTTCGTTCATTCCCAGAAAATTATACTTCCTTTGAATTGTAATATTAAAAAAAAAATTGGAACAACTTACATGACAATAAAATAGTTGAAACAAGTCAAAGGTCCAGCAAAATGGAAATAATTGTAAGAACTGAATATTCTACAGTTGGTAAACAGCATATATAAAGCGATCCCGTTTTGACCACTGACTTGGCCTAATTGCTTTTCATCAAATAGTAAAAAAGATGCCTGAGGGCTTCCCTGGTGGCGCAGTGGTTGAGAGTCCGCCTGCTGATACAGGAGACACGGGTTCGTGTTCCGGTCCGGGAAGATCCCACATGCCGCGGAGCGGCTGGGCCTGTGAGCCATGGCTGCTGAGCCTGCGCGTCCGGAGCCTGTGCTCCGCAACGGGAGAGGCCACAGCGGTGAGAGGCCCGCGCACCACCAAAAAAAAAAAAAAGCCTGAGAGTGTAGTTCATCAGCAGTGGGATATTTTCAGGAGAAAAATTCCCCCCAAGTTTGGATTTATAGTGTAATGATACAGTATCATTACTCATTAGTTTAAATAACGAATATGTAATGAATGCATCTGTGCACTGGGGAACGCCCTAGGAGCCTGGGATACATAAGAACACAGTAGATAAAAATCCCTGTCTTGTGGAGGTTATGTTTACGGACCGCAAATTCTTATGTATTTACTTCCCAAAGACTAGCCACATAAACCTACAGTTCTTTGTGAAGGGATTGATTCAGTCACGGAAACTGACAACTGGAGGAGTCTTACTGCAGGTGAAAAATGGGCATCTTCCCAAGCCCTGGTAATTACTATGCAGCAAGCCCAAGTACCTCATCTCATTCAAGGATGAGTCATGAAGACTCATGGGCTGGAAGAGCTTATCATTTAAGATATAAATACCATTCCCCGCAGAGCCACAAGTATTCAAAACTGCCTTGGACTGCCATACGTATCTTACACAACACAACAGAGTGTGGCATTTTAATGAATTAACTGCTCCATTCTTATATCTTTTTTTTTTTTTTTTGCCGTACGCGGGCCTCTCACTGTCGTGGCCTCTCCCGTTGCGGAGCACAGGCTCCGGACGCGCAGGCTCAACGGCCATGGCTCACGGGCCCAGCCGCTCCGCGGCATGTGGGATCTTCCCGGACGGCACGAATCCGTGTCCCCTGCATCGGCAGGCGGACTCTCAACCACTGCGCCACCAGGGAAGCCCCCATTCTTATATCTTAATCTGAGCCAACATTCACCTTAAATGTTGACACAAACCACAAGAAATTCTCACTCACCACTGGCAACATATCAAAAATGTTCTCTCTGATTTGGATTTGGCTTTTACTTTCCACCTCGTAACTCACGTTAGTCCCGACGGGAGTGTTATTTTGAGAAACAATGAAGTTTTGAACGGCATCACAACACGAAGCAAGTTCCACTCTGCAAAGCATAAGGATAAAAGTGAGTCAAGGAATAAGATTAAGAAACCCAAAATAGAGACGACGATGGAAAACGCAGAAGAGGATTTTGCCATACTGACTTTCAGAGAGAAGATACCTCATTCGCAAAGATGACATTTTTATCTCATTCCATTCTAACTGTCCCTGGATGGTGCAAGAGTGCTGTGGTAGGACTAAATAGCAAAGAACATTAACGTACTTACACTCAGGTAGGGACCGAGTCACCCATAGGAAATACTGATTATATAATGGTTTAAATACAAAGACTTCTTTCTCATGATAATGTTGTAACAACAGAGAAAATGGCAGAATACCTTCTAATTATTTTATTAAACAGTACAGAAGCTAAATTAAGACCAGTGTCACAAATCATCACCGAAACAATATGTAATCATTTATTATGAGACAAGTTCAATGAAAAGAAGCATCATTCAATACAGTGATTTTTTTTGAGCTTCAGTGAGGTATAATTCACAAATACGTATGGGGAATTCCCTGGCAGTCCAGTGGTTAGGACTCTGCGCTTCCTAACAGGGGGTCTGGGGTTCTATCCCTGGTCGGGGAACTAAGATCCCATAAGCCTCGTGGTGCGGGCAAAAAAAAAAATTCACAAATTGTTTATGTTCATGGTTTAATATGCATACATCCTGTGCAATCATCACCATAACCACGCTAATCAACATGTCCATCACCTCGCATAGTTATCTTTTTCCTTTTTCTATTTTTTATAGTAAGAATTGAGATTTACCCTCTTAGCAAATTTCAAGTATGCAATACAGTACTGCTAACGACAACTACACTGCTGTACTTTAAGGACCGAATTTTTAAATGATGTGAATTTCAAGTTGCCATTCTTTACAGAAAGCCCAGAAAAATGTAATTTAATACTGAACTCTATTTCCAAACTATTCCTATGGAGTGAAACCTTATTGTCAGAATGCAGACCCAGAAAGGTCCTGCCAGGGGTTGTTGGAATTTGCCCCCAACCTCTGGCAGGTGAATTCAGAACCACTCAGAATTTATATTTTGCTTATGTAATTCTCCGGGGGTGTAGACTCCATAGCGTCTCTTGATAATTATTCCACAGTTTAATCAACCTTGAAGTCAAGAGACCCTTTGATTTGCACAACTGAACTCTCTTCACTTAAATCCACCTCCCTGGTTAGTTTTTCATAGAATCTCTCCATAAAAAACACTTCATGTAATTGAAAGCGGTAATCATCAAGCACAACTTGAACCTTTTCAATTTTGAAGCATTTAGAGAATTTCCTCTTCTCTCAGATTTTCTCCATAAGACCAGTTTTTTCATTAAGGTCACCTTGTTCATCTTTAAACCTTTACTAATTTCTCCATTTTACTTAAAAATATATATTAAAGTTGGATCCCACCATAGCACAAGGAACAGTGACTTTTCAGCAGACAGAGCTGCCTGTGGTCAGTACTGATACCCTGAATTCCTAACTGGTCCTTTCCCATCGCATATTTTTTTTTATTGGTTTTTGGTCCTGAAGGGTATCCTTTTATACATGTTCCTACTGAATTTGGTTCTTTTGAAAGAATACAATGCTCTAGGCTGTCATAGTCATTTTGAATTATATTCCAGTCTCCGTGAATGCCAGTAATTCTCAGGGTATGAAAAGTCAGTGCTGTGATATTTGTACCCTAAAAATCAAGATTTTCAAATTAGTTCATATCAGTTAGCTGATATTATTAAGATAGTACGTTCTTACTTGAATTCTATCACCTGCTTATTATTTCTCTTTGTATTTCAGAACCTACCATTTCTAATAGCTCATGGAGACCAGACCAACAAAAGAACAAATTGAAAATGAAATGATGTGTAGTCAAAAACATGATACTAAGTATTTGAAATTATAAATTTAATTTCATAACAATTCATGTGACATATTGCAAACTCAGAAATCCTTATGTGTTTATAATTTTAAATGTCTCTTTTATGCAGCATGTTGAGAAAGGCAATGGAGTAGATTCTCATTTACCTTTTACAAGTAACTTAATTTCTCTAAGGATATTTGGTGCTTGAAAGAATATTGCATCACACAAAAAAACCACTAAGCAGGGCTTCCCTGGTGGTGCAGGGGTTTAGAATCTGGCTGCCAATGCAGGGGACACAGGTTCAAGCCCTGGTCCGGGAAGATGCCACATGCCACGGAGCAACTAAGCCTGTGCGCCGCAACTACTGAGCCTGCGTTCTAGAGCCCGCGAGCCACAGCTACTGAGCCCACACGCCACAACTACTGAAGCCCGCGCACCTAGAGCCCGTGCTCCGCAACTAGAGAAGCCACTGCAATGAGAAGCCCGCGCACCGCAACGAAGAGCAGCCCCCGCTCGCCGCAACTAGAGAAAGCCCGTGCGAGCAACGAAGACCCAACGCAGCCAAAAATAAATAAATAAAAATGCAATTATTAAAAAAAAACAAACCACTAAGCAAAGTACCGTTTGTGGGTTTTTAAACAGTTTTCTTTCTGGGAGTTCCCTGGTGGTCTAGTGGGTCGGATTCGGCGCTTTCACTGCTGTGGCCCCGGCTTCAGTCCCTGGGCAGGGAACTGAGATGCTGCAAGCTGTGCAGCGTGGCCAAAATTTTTTTAAAAAATTGTTTTTTTCTGAAATTATTTTCAATTATTATATTATAAAATTTTCAAACCCTCAGGAAAGTTGAAAGAATTGGACAAGAGCATTTGAATAATGACCAGTTAGACTCTACAAGTAAGTTTTTACTATATTTGCCTTGTCGTGTATTAATCCATCAATCCATTTTTGTTGTTATAGTTATTGCAATTCAACATAAATGACGGGTATCGGTACACCTCACCCCTAAATACTTCAGCATGTTTATCATTATTTTGTATTTTGGGGTAGAATTTACATACAATAAAACCCCAAGTGCATTCAATGAGTTTTGAGAAGTGCATATACCCCTATAACCCAGTCCCCTGTCAAGATACAGAATATTACCAACCCCACCAGACAATTCCCTCAAATTCTTTCCCAGTCCACCTCCAGCCAACCCCCACCTCAAGGCAACCACTTTTGTGATTATTTTTTACCAAACATTAGTATTGCCTGTCCCAGAATCTATATAAACATATACATAAATCTATATAAATATAAATCTATATAAATCATATTAATGCAACATTGTAAATCAGCTATACTCCAATAAAAATGTTTTTAAAAATTTAATTAATTTTTTAAAAAAGAATCATATTGTATATACGCTTTTGTGTAAGGCTTCTTTCACTTGCCTTTAAATGTTTCTGCAATTCATGTATGTTGCCAGGTATGTCAGTAATTTATCCCTTTTTATTGCTAGAGTAGTGTTGCACTGTCTGAATGTACCAGAATTGATTTAGCCATCCCCCCTGCACTTTTTTTTTTTTTCAGTACGCGGGCCTCTCACTGTTGTGGCCTCTCCCGTTGCGGAGCACAGGCTCTGGACACGCAGGCTCAGCGGCCATGGCTCACGGGCCCAGCCGCTCTGTGGCACGGGGGATCTTCCCGGACTGGGGTACGAACCTGTGTCCCCTGCATCGGCAGGCGGACTCTTAACCACTGTGCCACCAGAGAAGCCCCCCCACCCTGTGCACTTTTAAAGAAATCACTATCAAAAATCAATGTTAAATACCTAATCACTCCTAATAACATCCCAGGAAAAACATCGGAATAATTATCCAAAATGTCATTTCTGCAACCTATGTTGGGTCACTGACTAATGGGACATTTTAAGCCTTTATAGTTAGTGGCAGAATTATAAATTTATGCTCTTTGTCATTTCCCAGTTCATCTGCAGTAAAGATCCCCATAATAGCCAGTGTTAGTATAGAGCTGAGATGCTTAGAACAAAACAAAATGGAATTTTATTTCTATTATTCCATTTCCCATCATCCCTAAAAACAGAGTCAGTTCTAATCCTTGGTGACTCCAAAGTCAACTAGATGTGCTCACAATGATGGGCATGGCCATTTCCCCCTTCTTGTGTAAAAAGAGCAAGAGACATTAAGAAATGAAGGACACTTGGTATTCGCTAGATGTGATAGTGAATTTCACCTGTCAGCTGAGCCAAGTCAATGCCCAGAGAGCTGGTAAAACTATTTTTGGGGGTGTCTGTGAGGATGTTTCAGGAAGGATTAGCATTTGGATCAGTAGATGGAGTCAAAAACCTCACCCTTTCCATTGCATAGTAAATATCCAAGCAGACCAGCATTCACAAACCGCACCCTGGTAAAGCACTGTACGCTCTCCAGAGCATTTTCACACCTATTATGACATCTGATGCCCACAACAACCAGGGAGAGAGAAAATACAATTATTCCCATTTTATTTATTTTTTAAAGTAGTAAGTAGTCTTATTTATTTATTTTTGGCTGCATTGGGTTTTTGTTGCTGTGCGAGGGCTTTCTCTAGTTGTGGTGAGCGGGGGGCTACTCTACATTGTGGTGCTCAGGCTTCTCGTCGCGGTGGTTTCTCTTGTTGCGGAGCACGGGCTCTAGGTGCACAGGCTTCAGTAGTTGTGGCGTGTGGGCTCAGTAGTTGTGGCTCGCGTGCCCTAGAGCACAGGCTCGGCAGTTGTGGCGCACGGGCTCAGTTGCTCCGCGGCATGTGGGATCTTCCCGGACCAGGGCTCGAACCCGTTTTCCCCTGCATTGGTAGGTGGATTCTTAGCCACTGCGCCACCAGGGAAGCCCCTATTCCCGTTTTAGAGATGAGAAAACTGGAGTTGAGAGAGTGTATGGGTTAGAACCAAGGCGCCCAGGTTGTTCGTGACTCCAGCTTATGTCTTTTGACATTCACTTCTTTGCAGTTTACACTAGAGTATCCTGGGTGGGTAATGCTGTCATTTGAGCTTCTTCCTTTGGGATGCTTTCCATAATGGCACCAAACAACATAGCAGTTCCCAAAATAATGCTGGTAGCACCCCACTGACAGCTTGTCCAGACATATCTCAAAGGCTGCAAAAAATTTTACATGTGAATATTCCAAACCCTCTATATAACTGAGACATTCAAGGCTCTTATTTTACATGGAGGGTTACACGATTCCCGATGGATGGGATCAAGGTTGTCAAGTGGTCCAGACAATGTGTCCTAGGATTGAATGGAAAAGAAACCCCTGGTTTACTGATGATCTAACCCTTGCTGTGTCACACCTTCAGCAACTTCCTCTATGCAATCCAGTTCCAAAAGGAAATCTAGTCCCTTCCACCCCCCCAGAAATGAATGGGGACTCTCTGTACTGCATTGATTTCCAGAACCGGAAAGAGTTCACATTCTTTCAAAAGTGCTTAACTCTCAAGAAGTAGGTGGGAGTGAAGTGAGAGTGGCATGGACATATATACA